GATGAAAAATGACCTAGATAATAGTCTCTGCAGCTGTTGGGAGGTTTGTATGGTGTGTGTGTGTGTGGTGTGTGTGTGGTGTGTGTGTATGTGTGTGTGTGTGTGTGTGTTTGGTCTAGATTAGCTGCCCTGGCTACATCAATTCATACACTTTACCAAGAAAAATGTCACATGCCTAAAATAGGGTTGTCAAAGAAACCAGATCAACCTGGAAGGAAACATGAAACCATGGGAAAGAAGATAAGGCTGACCACATAATCATCTTGTTTGCAGAAGAATCAAAGTCTTACAATGCCAAGGCCACCTGCTGAAGTCCAGGAAAAGAAACACTGGAAGAAGACAAAAATGCCAATAAGGATACAATGACAGGCTACACTAGAAATAAAGGTTGGAGGACAGGAGAGGGCACCTTCTTTTCCCATATCTACCTCATAACCATCCCCCAGAATACAGGTATTGCTTGCCTTCTTTTAAACATGTCAAAGGATAATCCACATCCTCCCTTGGTTACCCATCACAGAGCTCACAGCCCTATTCTGATCAAAGGCAGATAGCTCTATTTCCAGGGATGTCTGAGTCTGGAAGCAGAGTGGCCTAAATGACCCGATAAGCCCTTATCTGATATTATCCTTTGACAGCGGAGCACATTTTCATTCCACATGCCTGGGTTACACAGAATATAATGTGAAGAAAAAGACCAAGCCCTTACCAAAAACCAGAGCCCATTATTTGGGGAGGAGGGGACTTGAACTTATAATAAGACAGAGTGACATAAAGGAGAGTCCCTTGCTCCAAAATAAGTTTTCCACTATCACGTGCTTGAAAGTCCCTCACCAGAGTTCTCGCCTCCTTGCTCCTCACGCTCCAGCTACAGAAGGAAGTGTAGGTTTTCACACTTCAGGATTCTGTTTCCTGCTCCCATTTCCTTTGTCCCGCTGTTCCCTCAGCGGCAAACACTGTCCTCCACCCTCATCCCCATTCTTGTCTTCCTTTCACTAAGTTTAGGCTCTGGTGTCATTTGTGGGGAACTTCCCTTTCCACCCATCCCCACTCAGCTTCTGTGTCTCTACAGTAACCAGTGTATCACACCCTCGTCACACCTAAGGCATTTTTCACACCCATTCACATGTCCAGTGGATCTCGAATGCTTAATGAGCAAAATATTCACTTGAGGAATTTCCTGAAAATATAGGTTTTGATTCAGTAATTGTGAGGTGGACCCAGAAAACTGCATTTGTAAATAAAACCTTCCCTAGTGATTCTTTTTCAAAATAATCTTTCAGCTTTATTGAGGCATAATTGACAAATTTAAAAATGATGTACATTTAAGGTGTTCAATGTGGTGTTTTGATGTAAGTATACCTTGTATAATGATTCCCACGATCAAGGCAATTAACATAACCATCACCTCACATAGTTACCTTTTTCTGTGTGTAGTGATAAAACACTTAGGATCTATTCCCTTAGCAAATTTCCAATATAACAATACATTATTATTAACCATAGTTACCATGTTGTACATTAGGTCTCCAGATATCATTCATCTTTTTCTTTTCTTTTCTTTTCTTTTTTTGGGACAAAGTCTCACTCTGTTGCCTGGACTAGAGTGGTGTGGTGTCAGCCTAGCTCACAGCAACCTCAACCACAGCCCAGCAAACTCCTGGGCTCAAGCAATCCTTCTGCTTCAGCCTCCCGAGTAGCTGGGACTACAGGCATGCACCACCATGCCCAGCTAATTTTTTTATATATATATTTTTAGTTGGCCAATTAATTTCTTTCTATTTTTAATAGAGATGGGGTCTTGCTCTTGCTCAGGCTGGTCTCGAACTCCTGAGCTCAAATGATCCATCGGCCTCAGCCTCTCAGAGTGCTAGGATTACAGGTGTGAGCCACTGTGCCCGGTCCTCATTCATCTTATAACTGAAATTTTGTTCCCTTTTACCAGCATCTCCCATTTCCCACATCCCCCAGGCCCTGGCAACTGCTATTCTACTCTCTGCTTCTCCACATTCAACATTTTTAGACTCCACATATCAGTAATATCACACAAAATTTGTCTTTCTGTGAACCCCAGTGATTCTGATGCTGGTGTCCACCAAGCCACATGGAAGAGCTTGGCCTTGTCTACACTCCAAGCCCCATGATGCTCAAGGCTAGAAGCTATCCTTAATTCATCTGCATGTCCCCGGCCCAGTCCATGACTAGCACAGGGAAACTCTGCACTTGATAACAGTTGTTAAATGAATGAATTCTGAAACACCTGCGATTGAAAAAGCCAATTAAGATATCAAAGTCTCAATGTGGAGCAGTTGAGAATGTGAGAAAAGGCCAGGCGTGGTGGCTCATGGCTGTAATCCTACCTAGCACTCTGGGAGGCCGAGGCAGGCGGATTGCTCCAGGTCAGGAGTTCGAAACCAGCCTGAGCAAGAGCAAGACCTTGTCTCTACCATAAATAGAAAGAAATTAATTGGCCAACTAATATATATAGAAAAAAAATTAGCCGGGCATGGTGGCGCATGCCTGTAGTCCCAGCTACTCGGGAGGCTGAGGCAGTAGGATTGCTTGAGCCCAGGAGTTTGAGGTTGCTGTGAGCCAGGCTGACGCCACGGCACTCACTCTAGCCTGGGCAACAAAGCAAGACTCTGTCTCAAAAAAAAAAAAAAAAGGATGTGAGAGAAGAAAAAGAAATAAGAAGGCAGAGATGATGGAAAACCCCTGAAATCAAATTTCCAGTTGCTCCACATTTTGCCAAGGAACACTATGCCAGTGCCTCCTTCACTTTCACCATTGACCCTGGCTACTAAGCCTCCCTCTGCCCACCATGACGGGGTTACACCAGTGCTACCTGTGGGCTTTTATATCACCTTTATACTGCAGCTCACATCTTCTTATTCCTATAGTCAGTCAGGAAGAAGGTGTACTTTATGTTGAGTGCCCTCTTGTACTTTCTCATTATCCATTCTTTTTCTTACTTTAGCTTTACTTAAGTATAATTGATATACCAAAACACGCACATATTGAACATATATATCTCAATGAGTTTGGACATATGTATATACCTATGATACCATCACCATAACCAAAGTGTTCAATATATCTATCATCTCCAAAAATTTCTTCATGTTCATTTTTTTGGGGTGGTGGTAAGAACACTTTAACATGAGACATATCCTATCAACATATTTTAAAATGCACAATACATAGTATTGTTAGCTACAGGTACTACGTCTTACAGCAGCTCTCTAGAACTTAGTTATCATCCATTCTTAATAATTGGTAGTGCCAAGCCTGAGACAGAATATTTTAGAGTCCAATCTGAAAGAAGGCAAGGAGAGGGTCTCATAATATCATACTACTTTTAGACAAATATAAAGAAAAATCTGAATTCACACAACTAGTAAAAATAGGAAAGGAGTACAGACCCTGGTTTGTAAAGCAAAGTCTTGTCTGTGCTCTGTTTGGTATTGTTGTTAGCCAGATTAGAAAAGAAAAAAAGGAGTGTGTGTGTGTGTGTGTGTGTGTGTGCACACACATACACACTCATATGTGGGCGTGCGGTTAAAAATGAGCAATTGAGCTGGCCAAGAATTTTCTAGTTTCCTGCTGGAGAAAAATGAGTTTGATTCTTTGTCCTAATGTTTCCCATCCTGGTTCAGTAGGAGCTGAAAATATTGTTTGCTCAACCCTCAGGGTCAGAGTTCTGTGTAATTGGAATGCTATTTTGTTTTCAGGCCGTTTGATGTTAATTGCTTGATTACCAATATAGTGGTGTTTCATTTTGGGAGGTCTTAGTACCACATGTCAACAAATACTGGGAAAAACATTCCTTCATGTCTCCAACACACACACACACACACACAAACACAATAAACTCTGACTTACTCTCCTTCCCACAACAAATCCCTTTCCAAACATTCCATCTAAAAAGCTTTCCATATCAATACTTTTAAAAATAAATTTTTTTGTTTTGGAATAATTTTAGATTTACAGAAAAGTTGCAGAAAGTGTACGAAATTCTCATATACCCTTCCTCAATCTCTCCTAATGTTAACATCTTACATAACTTAGGTCCATTTGTCCTAACTTGGGGATGACAAACTGTAGCAGCACACTGCCTGTTTATAGTAGAGCCTGCAAGCAAAAGTCATTTGTATTTTTAAATGGTTGGAAAAGATCAAAAGAAGACTAATATTTCATGACATGTGGAAATTATATGGCATTCAAATTTCAGTGTCCATAAATAAAGTTTTATTGAAACACAGCCATGCCCATTCCTTTACATACTGTCTGGTTGCTTTAGCACGGCTATGGCAGAGTTGAACATTTGCAGCAGAAATCATCTGGCTCACAAAACCCAAAGTCTATACTCTCTGGTCCTTTACAGAAAAAGTTTGCTGACTCCTGGTCTAAACTAAGAAATTAACACTGTTACATTACTATTGACTAAACTACGGGTGTTGTAGCACTAGTTTTTCCACTGATGCTTCACGATGCAATCCCGCGGTGAGCCTCAGTCTGTTTACCCACCAGGTGCATGATAGGTAGGTCCAACTTTGGAAAATATTCCTGCCTAACAAATAAGTTTCAGCTGGCCGCTTGAAACAGGGTTTGTTTTTGTTGTTTGTTTGGGGCTGTTTACGTGTTTTACACAATAGGCGGAGACAATTGAATACAACATCTGGGCTAGGAAGGCTGTGAACTTGAAGATGGGAGGAAGAGCTATATTTGTTCAAGCAGTTCACGCGCTGGGCCAAGTCAGGGCGCCAACTCAGGCCCTTGAGAAAAGGGGGCTCCCCGTATGCCCCCTCGTAGGGAATGGGGCCTCCCTCTGGTCCCACACAGTCCCGGTCCCAGCTCCCAGGCCTTTGTCTCTTCCTCCCCAGCCCGGCCTGTGAACGCCGTGCCTCCGCCATTCACCCGGCCGCCGCGGCTTTCAGCGGGCTCCGCGGGCGCGGGCGGGCGGCGTCCGGTTGCCCAGCAACGGTCCGAAAGGCAGCTCACGTCGCCGCCAGGGCCGAGACACATCCGCACCAGCCAGTCTGCGCCGCGGGCCGGTGGCCTGATTTCTCCCCTTCCTTTGTTGTAGCTCACACAAAAGACTACGACTCCAGTGTGGTCAGCGGGCCCGCGCTGGATTACACGCCAGGCCATTCTTTGGGCCGGAGCCTTTGGGGGGGCCGGGGTGCGTCCCCTCCCAGGGCCAGAACTCCGGGCCTCGCCAGCGTCTGCGACCTGTCTCCCTCCCTCCGCCACATCCACCCACCTACCGCCTTTGTCCCTTTCAGCTGGCGGCCAGGCCCGCGCTTGCCTTTTGGCCGCTCTGAGATCGCTCTGGCGGCGGCCGCGGGCGTCCTCCCCGCCCCTCCCTTCCTCCCAAAGCCCATTCAGTCGCCTGTCCTTATCTCTCCCTCGCCCGTCCCTCTCCATCCCTCTCTCTCCAGTTTCCAAGGCTGCCGTTGCCATGGCGCTCACACAACTTGAGGGCTGAACAGGGGGGTTTTCTATGGTGTCTGCCAAACTCTCAAAACTCGGGAGGATGAAGGCCGCCCAAAGTCCTTGGGATTCCCCCAGCGCTGAGGAGAGTGACATTTAACTCACCACCCTCTCTACTCAGTGACCCCAGTGTTCAACAGCGTGCTCGGATTCTGGGAAATTCAGCGCTGAATTGGGAAGATAATTCGAGTCACGCTTAGGGACAATTTGCTTGTAAAAGCTGGACGGGGTCCCCCTCCAAAGAAATACATCCCAAGGTATGAGCTGATTTTTCTTTAACATGGTGCAACATGGACGTCAGCTATTTAGTACCAGACCTTACTTAAAGAGGGGGGAAGTGCATGGAGGTAACAGTATGCTACCCGACTTTTTAAACACCGTTATCAATGTGAAATCCCTGTTCATTAGGGTCCCCAAGCGTGGCTCCCACCCACAGCGCCATCCTCAGGCCAGGGGTGGGAGCGCAGGCGCTTGCCCCGCCTCACAGCACGCTGGCGGAAATCCAGGTGCACCTTGCACCTGCCACCTCTTTGTGTTTCTCATTATTCCCACTACCCTCCGCATAATATTCCATTAAAATGTAGGCACAATGAAGTAAGGTAGGCCATGAGAGGGAGTTAAAGTATATAGTTGTAACTTTTTTTTTTTTTGAGATAGGATCTTGCTTTGCAGCCCGGGCTAGAGTGCAGTGGCATATCATCACAGCTCGCTGTAACCGCAAACTACGGGGCTCAAGTGATCTCCCTGCCTCAACCTCCCAGGTAGCTGGGACTACAGACGCACACCACCAAACCCTGCCAATTTTTCTATTTTTTTTTTCCAATTTTTCTAGCTCTTGCTCAGGCTGGTCTCGAACTCCTAGCCTGAAGCAAGCAATCCTCCTGCCTCAGCCTCCCAAAGTGCTAGGATTATAGGTGTGAGCCATCCTTCCTGGACTACAACTAATTTTTAATACAGAATTCATATTATGGGGATGGCAGGGAGAGAGCAAAAGCCTGTATGACTTTCATCTATCTTAACTTTTTCAGTTGGTTGATGTAAACTCCAGTTACCATAAATCAGCCAAGCAGGGAGCATGTGCAAATATTTGTCAACCAATGTGGCACAAGCACTGACCCATCAGAACAGACGTACTGATGGCATGAACCCTGGCATGTAGCCTGCATGAGGGTGAACTGCCAAACACTGCTCCTGATGACCCCTGGAGTCACAGCCCCATGCTAGGCAGTTGGTGGGCTTTGAAGGGAGGCCCAAAAGGCAAAACATTGTCTTTTCCTCAAGATATTTACTATGCAGTTAAAAAAAAAAAACACTAGCATACACAAAATGATACCAAGTATTAGCAGACAATACAATTAACTATTCATAGCTTGGAATTTTTTATTAATAATAACTAAACTTTCACAACAACCCTATGAAATTATTGGTATTATGATTACCCCCATTTTACATATATGGAAACTGAAAGAATCACTAGAGACTTCTTCCTCCAGCTTTCGTCTACGTAAGGTAGACAGAAAAAGAAGAGGGAGATCTTTATTAACTGCCTGCAATGTTGAAGGCCCGGTTCAGGGAAGATGGGTCATGCGCACAAATGACCACACTTTAGAAACATGGATTTAGCAGCCATGTGCAGGACAAATAGGAGAAAGAATAGCTGTGATGAAGGGCACTTTTTAGGAGAAGTTTGGAAGAGTCTAGTCCAGGTCAAAGATTATAGGAAGGAAACTAGGGGAATGGTGTTAATAGTAAACTAACTTCAGTTACCTAGCAAACCCAGAGGAGCAAAAGTAATGTCAGTGTCAGTGGGGATCCTGGGGAGGAGGAGCTCCAAGCCTCAACCACAGACCAGAGCTGGCAGTTGAGTAACAGGGCCTTCCTTCAAGACAAGCAGATGAAGAAAGGATAGAAGTGATGTAAGAGGCATTTAGGAAAGAATCTTAGCCGCTGATTTATGTGGGGGATGAGACAGAAGAGTAAAAAGTGGTGGAGGTTTCAAATGTGGGGAAATTTGTTATCATAAATAGCTCAAGTGGGCTATAAGAATTCACTCGGCTTAACACTACTCCTGACGCCCCCTGAAAAGTGTTTACCTCACCTCCAAGCAGTTTACTGTCAGAAAACCCGAACCAATACATAATATTAAATTACTTTATGTTATGTAAAACAGTGCTAGGCACTTAGTAGAAGCTAATTGAGTATTTATGGATTGCTTAAATAAATTGAGGAACAAAAGATCTGTGCAAATCCTAAAACTTTTCTTCATATCAATGTATTTTTCAGCTTTTTCCCTGTGACTATCTGAAGGCATCCAAGGCATGGAGGTGCAATGGCAAGGAGCAGGAGACTTGGGTTTTTGTCCTGGTTCTGGCTCTAATTTGCACGTAATACATTAAGAATCCATTTAGTTCCTCTCTGTACTTGGGTATCCTTGCCTGTTAAATGTTGAGGTTGGACTAAATAAACTATGAAAATCCAAATTTTACAAATATATGTCTACCCAAAGTACTTGAAGAAAAATAAATGAAGCATTTTGCACTTAGCAGAGTTTGGATATTTTCTCTAAAGATAATAGAAGTGCGTTTTGCTAAATGGCAAAGGAGATGATTGTAGTATTTCTAGGCTCTTTTCCTATAAGAATCCTGGCAATGTTCACTAGTTTGGAGCGACTTTCCCATCAATTTTGAGTTCCATGATTTCACACTCATGGATATTTCCTCAGAGAAGTGGTTTCTTTGGTAACTTCATGCTCATGATCATCTTAGCATCAATTGGAATTACCCAGACATGTCAGCAGGAGAATAGGCCTCTTCTGGGCAGGGGGAAAAAGGAGCTGTCTCCTTTTATTACCAAAAAATAAATACAGAAGACACAAAAGATTTTTACCACACTTGTCACATATGGTGGAGTAAGCTGAAGATGAAACTAAAATTGCCTCCATAAAACAAAAGGCTTTGTGTGTATTTCAAAGGCATTTTATGTTGCATAACATGGAATTAACCCCAGCTCCAGCCCTTTGAGCATTATGTGTATAAATATATTCTGAAATGAAAGTATATTGAATTCCTCCTTATGCTTCTCTTCCCAGGAAAATAGAACACTATTTAAAAAAAAAAAAAAAAAGGCTGAAAGGAAACATTGTTTAAGGAGAGCTTAGCTATAAACAATGAAGTACCCTAAATAGTAAACAGTTCCAGCAGGTTGTACCAGTGGTCAAACTCACTGTATACTTCAGCTTAGTATTTGCTGTATTTCTAAAATCTAGACTTAGTTTTATTATTGTCTGTTCATTCCCGTGTTCTTTCAAGTGTGGCCCGTGGATCAGCTGCAAGAGCATTATCTGGGAGTTTGGTAGAAATGAAGAATCTCCAGTCCCATCCAGACTTGCTGCACCAGAATCTGCATTTAACAAAACACCCAAGTGATTTTTATGCTACCACCAGAGAGGACTGCTCTAGTCCACAGCATGCATCCAGTAGAGATGACGTTCAAAAGTGGTTTGTTTATTTTGAAATGACAGTTTTCCTTTCTGGGGAAAAAAATTGTGGAAATTATTGATTACATAAGTCAAAAATGGTACTAGACCCTCCCTAGTGACAGAAAACAATAAAATACAGCATGCTATCATTAGTATAAGAGAATGCCAGCAGAGGCCTATGATTAATGAGGCTTGAGTTTGGGGTAATGTTGAGACTCCTCCATCCTCATTCTCTTGACTCAAGCTTTATGTGACCAAACACTCACTTTTGCAAGATGGCTGAGGTTAAGAGTGCAATCTGGCCACAGAAAGGAGAAAAGCTCACTGACCCATGCTGACCCCTGACCTTGACCTCATTAGCTAACCAAATGAGCTAACCAGCCACGGACATCAGAGAGCATTATGTGTTGATTAAGCCAGAGCATGAGAAGAACCAGCAGAAGATCAGTTATACAGATGTTTTTACCTTGATCACACATATTTATTAACCATAAATATGAGGAGCACATATACAAATTCTCTTCCATCTTCCAGCATCTTTTCCCCATTGTATTGCAGATCAAGGACTTGAAGGCAACAAAAGGTTCTTCTCTTTCATAGCTCTCTAGTCTTTCCCTTCAAAGTACTTAAGACACATTGTAATTATAAATGTATTTTTGTTTTTATTCTTTTACAATAGTCTCCATCACTAAATTCCCTAAAGGCAGAGATCTTCTCCCTCTGATTTGCCATCTATACCCAGCACTTAACGATAACTTCGGTGCCCAGTAAGAGTTCAAGAAACATTTGTTGAGTGATGGACTAAATGAATAAATATGTGAATAGTGAGTCAGAGCTCTAAAAGCAAACCTATTAAACTATTTTGCAATATTCAATAAACATTGAATAAAATATTATGCTAAGGAGTGGATTTACAAATTTGCCTCGCCTTTTAGAATTTCACATTCTTGTGGAAAAGATATAAATAGATTTATAATAATATTAACAGCTAACATTTTAGTCACTGTTCCAGACACTTACACATATTAACTCATTGATTCTAACAGGTTCTTTGGACATTGTATTAATATACATTATATTAATAATTATCTCCATTCTGCAGATGTGAAAACTGAGGCACAGAAAGGTTAAGGGACTTGCCCAAGGCCACACATCTAGTACTAGGTGGAACTGTACAGGAACACAGGCAGTCCTGCTCCAGAAGCCATACTCTTAATAAGGCGCTTTGGTAACTTGCCTTCCAATAAGCCATCCATGGGAAGACTCCATACCATGAGAAGTGATCAGGGAGCTATACACAGGATCTAAAGAAGCAGAGAAGGGACAACTGGTTCCAAACCCAGCCTATGCTCTTCAAACAAATAAACAAAAGCAAGCACTTGCTGCCAGTGAAGAATCCTCTGGCAAAGTCCCTGTGGTGGGTGCAGAATGTAGCACAGTGTTCTCCGGGAGCTGGAGTCAGCCCGCCCAAGGGTCAGCCTCATCCTTCCTCAGCTGGCTCTTCTCAGCCTTGGCAGCAACAGAGATTCCAGTCCAATAAAAACATGTATTATGGCCAGGCGCGGTGGCTCACGCCTGTAATCCTAGCACTCTGGGAGGCCGAGTCATGCAGATTTCTGGAGGTCAGGAGTTCGAAACCAGCCTGAGCAAGAGCGAGACCTATCTCTAGTATAAATAGAAAGAAATTAACTGGCCATCTAATATATATAGAAAAAATTAGCCGGGCATGGTGGCTCATGCCTGTCGTCCCAGCTACTCGGGAGGCCGAGGCAGCAGGATAGCCTGAGCCCAGGAGATTGAGGTTGCTGTGAGCTAGGCTGACGCCATGGCACTCACTCTAGCCAGGGCAACAAAGCAAGACTCTGTCTCAAAAAAAAAAAAGAAGAAGAAAGAAAAACAAAACAAAACAAAAAAACACGTATTAACCTACATTGTGAGCTTGGTGCAGGAACCAAGCTCTGGCTTCAACCGTTTAATAGATTCAGAGGAAGTTGGAACAGGATATCAATGACATTCACATTTAGAATTTAGGACACAACAAGATAATCACTTACCCAGGCACAATACATATAACTGTTTTCCCTTTGGGCCTCTTCTCTACCTATGTTCTCCCTTTCTCTCCTCCGGTCTTGACATACATTAGGGTCTTTCAAGTGGAATCACTTCCTTTAATTCCTCATAGGTTATGAGTGTGACCTCTGGTTCCGCTTCATGTGTTTCAAACTGAGATACCATCAGAACTCACGTTTCCCTTCCAGGCTTCAAAAGTTACTCTGGTGTGCAGATTACATAAAATATATTCTCGGTTCCTGGAAATATTTTAACAGAACTGGAATTTGGGGGAAATTATACACTGGCACAATTTTTAAATAACTTAATTAGACCAGTCAGGTTTGAGAAAGGAAGAGGTCATTAAATTTAAGTCTTCTCAAAGGCAGCTATCTTTAATTAGCTCCTTGGTCAATGAATGGATAAAGCTGGGACCTTTTTCTAAGGAACCAGTTATAAGAAGTAAAACAAAAGAAATCTTCCACTAAATTAAAAGTTACTGGGTATAGTCTTTGTCCACTTTGCCTCTTTCTACCTTCTGCCTCCCTTTTTGGATAACTTTATCTTTCAACATGCTTTCTTTTGTTTCTTTTCCTCATTCCTTTTATACTTAGAAGGTAGCTGCATTTTTTTTTATTCAAAAGAAAATCTCTTCTTGCAGTGATTCCATTTACCCCTTGGAGTTTGGTTGTACTCCTTCCTTCCCCACTCATTTTCACCAGCCCCCTCCAAAATTCTTTGCCCTCTCCAATTCTCTTTGCTTGTTCTCCTATCACCATAGTTTATCTTGTTCCTATTCCCTCTTATATACTTGGATGGAACAAAATGTGCAGTATGAGACAAGGGTATTTTTCTAGGTGCCATTACATTTATCTGTATTCTTTCCTATCTGTGGATATGTTATCACAGAACTTGGTCATTCCTTGGAAAACACTACCAATCTCCACGATCCCCATTGTTTTAGCAATACACCAATTTGTAGCCATATCAAGTGGAACCAATGGCCAGTATGAATGTTCAGCACCCTTCCCTGCAGCGGCCTGGGTGAAGGGGACCACTGAAGTAAGGGCACAGTGAGTGGCAATGGGGTGGGGTGCCGTGGTAGCAAGTGTTCTCATTAGAAACCATTCTGTTGATCTCATGTTCCCAGCATGGGCTGATAGCAGAATCTGAGAGCTTTAAACTTAACATGAATAACTAACCACTTACCTGTGATTTTCTAGCCACGTCCACTTTCTGTGTAACTGAAATACTTTTCTGTTCCTGATTTCAGACAAGCAGTACTTTCAATATGCCACTGACTAAGGCACACACAAAAAAAATGAATATGAAATCTCAATAAAATTTGGAAGAAATATAAATCCAGTCAAATATGCATTTAATAACAATGCATTTAATAACAATGTTTTATTATTAAACTTATGCAGCATGGTATGGTTCAAATGCTTTTAATACTTGGGTAACCACCTCCTATTAACTAGTGCTTGCTAAGAAGAATAATCATAAGCTACCTGAAGTTCTCATTACCTTCCTAACAGAGTTGTGACCATTCAGCCCACTAAAAGCATAAGCAAGAATAGGGGCAATTTTATTTGCATTGTGAAATATCAATTTCATTTACATCCAAAGAAAGTATGGATGAAATAAGTACAGTTGAGTGGTTGGACTGAGGTGGTGTGTAGCACTGCCTAATACATCAAGTTTTCTGCTCATAGTATTTTAAAATCTGTTTCCTTATTAATATGAAATGTAATTGATGATTTGCTATGCATGCAAATAGAAATCAAGTTGGAAGCTTGTTTCTTCCATAGGTCTTCTGCAGTGTCACTGTTCAAAACAAAGTCTCTTTCAACAAAATGCCCACATCCGACAAGTGATGTTGAAATGTTAAGTGATTTGTAATTCCTAATAATAACTTTCGTTTTGTTAAGTCCCTTTTTTTCTGCCCAATAGCATCCTTCATAGCTTTAATGACCCATGTAATTAAATTACAATTCAGAATGAGAACTTCCTGGAAACAAATAATACTAGAAATATAGATTTTGCTTAAAATCAAAGCAATGTAATTTAAAGACAAATGGCTAGATGTGATTGAAACTGGGGGAGGCTGGGCCTGAAACAAGTGCTTCTGATAAAGAAGTGAGTTGAAGATGTGTGAGAGGGCAGAGACCCACACCCCAGAGGCCAAGGTCAAGATTAATTCACTCTCTAACTAAGACAGATGAGAATCATTGCTCAGGAGCCCACAGAGATGAGGGTCATGCATCAAGCCCTGATGCCTATGGATCTCAAATGCTGCAAATGGCCGCTGAAAACTCATCAATTCCGTTTCGATGGGGCGTCTTAATGACCTGGGAACAGGGCCCATGCAATCACGTAGTTCAGACTTGGGGGAGTTTCTGCCCACAGACTTTCATCATCATGGGAGAACATTGTGCTATTTTGTCCCCTGAAAAGAAATAACAGCACAACTTCACAGCTGATGCCTGTGAATGAGGCCCTGCTGTCTTCAGAGAAAAGGGAATGTCTGACGGAAAAGCTTGGCGAGATTCTCAATCTGGATTCCACTGCTTTCGTGGTTTTTAAAAGGTGGAAAAAAATGTTAAGGTATGAAGTGGGTGTGAGTGCATGTATGTGTGGGCATGCATGCCCTCAACCTCACTGCTAAATATATTGTGAGATTTCTTATTGCTAGACAAAGCAAATTAGCCATGCTGTTCCAGGTGGTCAGAGGACAAAGGAAAGAGCTCATCCTCCTCCCCCCAGTCCCACCCCTCCTACGGTCTGGGAGAAAATGTCTCCCAGCTATCGTAGTGCACTTTAGAGGATGATTAGCCTGGTCAGGCCCAATTCTAGCATAGCATTTGGGTAGAGCACATCTGTTAGAATATCTAGACTGATTCTCCTGTGTCTGCTCCCTAGAGACTCAATTTAACACATCTACCAGACAGAGATTACAATCTCTTGATATCACATGTTATCCACAGATCAAAACAGCAGGCCACATAACAGCTCTAGCTCCATCTAGCAGTTTCCACAATAGCTCAGCTCTGACCCATTATCTACAATGCCCAGAACTCATTTCACCTTGGAATTGTGAAGAAATAGCCAAAATTCAGATTAGACAGAAACTTCCCTGTAGGTTTCTCTTTCTGCCCCTTAGGGACATTTACTGTATCTTTCTTACATCCTTTTAATCCACTTTTTGAAATTACAACAGTTCATAGCTTTATGATACCTTCAAAATACTAGAGAAGAGGTTTTCCTAAACTTAACCTTTGCTGAACTTGGAAAATCCATATGGAGAGATAAGTAACAATTCACAAATGCCAACTCAATTTTGTTTGGTTTATGCTACCTTTAATTATCTGCATTTAAGCCAATGAGATTATTTCTCTTTGACTTGAAGCCCAGTCTAAATTATATGGTGGTTTTTTGTTTTTTTTTTTAAATGACAGTGCTGCTTCCAGACGGTCTTCCAAGAGAGTCATATATCTTGGACTATCTAAGAATTCCTGAAAGCCAGGACCCTGAAATTCCAGACCTGTCTGTTGTCCAGCCCTTTGGCATCCAAACCTTGTTAGTGCCTTTCCCATACCTCCCAGCTAGTCTTCCCTCCCCTCCTCCACAGGGAGCCATTCACAAAGAAGGGCTGGGGAACAACAGAGTAGGGAAGTAGAGGAAGCCCAGTGGAATGTGCCTGAAGGAGCCTGAAAAGAAAGAAAAATCTTTTGGGGAGGCAGAATACTAGAGAACAGCTGTGTTCGGAATACCAACTGAACAGGGCGCT